AAGCTTTATCTATGTTTTCAATGTGGGATAATAGTTTTGAATTTCATTCAAATTTCCAACAAAACAATACTCGTAAATTTCAAGGGACAAACGCTTCAAATGGAAAATGGGAGACACCTATATATACCTATTGAGAAGTTGGCATTGGGAGGTTAACTACACTGATGTTGGTAGGCAGACCCCTTCTTCCATTGCTAAGTTACCGTTTTAAGCCGATGTTCACTTATGTTTTTTTTGGTAAACACGTTTTATTTCCATTTTTTTTGGTTTAATGTACGCATCTATGCAGAAGTGCTCGCGTTTCATTTCTTAGCCCTGTTTTTTTTATTGGTCGGACGGACGACTTCTCGACTTTCGAGTCATAGCGAAACTTTACCTTTCAAAGGTTTGATCATAAACTTAACTTACGGAACAAAAGTTCCTCGCTGTACGGACAGGTCTTGCTTCTTCACAGGGTCTTGTCCAAGTCTTTCAAGTTCCGATTTCAAAGCTGAGGACGACGACAAGGAAAACGATACGAAGAAGCTGAAGCTGAAGATGGGCTTCGTGGGTCTTGTTGAATTTGCCCTTCAATGCTTTGATGCTCTTGCATGGTATGCTTTGCTCTAAGAGAAACAGTTGATCAAATTTGTCATCATTTCCATGTTGTTTGTGATTTTTTCTTTTTTCTCTTGTCTCTTTTGTTTTTGGGTTTTTTTCATTTTTTTATTGCAGGCCTCTACTTGCTCTGCTGTATCCTCTGTAAGCCTCTCTGCCCCCACATACATTTTTATTTTGAAGAAACAATGTTTTTCTTTACCAAAATAGGTGTAATTTTTCGATATTACATTTGATGATGCCATGATGATGATTACTTGATAATAATACTGCAATATCAATGTTGATACAGTGATGAGGATCTCCTTGATGTTTATATTTTCTTTTGACAGATGTTGTACCATTAGGGCGATTGAGGCCAATTCTATTTCAGATTCTCAGAGGTTGAATGCTTATTGGGTTGTCTTCTCATTGATTTTGCTCTTTGAACATGCATTTATGAAGTTCCTTGAATGGTAATTCTGCTGTTTATTTTATTGCATATTTCAGGCAAGAAAAGCTTTAACAGAACTTTCAGGCTAGTTATCATGAAATCCTTTCTGCAATGTGAATTTCATGTTGCGAGTTTCCCCCAAGTTTCGCTCAATTAATTTGATCGTCCATAATTTTTATTTCTTAATACATACATTGGAAATAAAATTGTAAAAGGAATGAGATTTTCAAACTTTTCCTAGCCTTCACTAGAATAATAAGGAGAGCATAAATTTTCACAATCTGGTTGTTCTCAATTTCTGGAATCTTCTTCCGACTGCTATGAAAAATTGTCTGAAGTGAATTTGTGTGCATATCCATTTATTGTGGTATTATTGAGACGAAACAGAGAGTTTCGTAAATAATTTTGAAGTTACTTCTCAAAATGGTTGTGATATATTATGCATGTTTTCATATACGAGGTAGCTTTCTGGTAATACATTCACAATTATATGGAGTAGCAGTTAGTTTAACAGATGTATGAACACAATTGCAATACATTCATGTTTTCATATTTGACATTCTGCATATGGAGTAGCAGTTAGTTTAACAGATGTATGAACACAATTGCAATACATTCATGTTTTCATATTTGACATTCTGCTCATTGATTTTTTTTTTTTCTTTTTCTAATTCAATTCAAACATGAGAAATGGATGTAATTCATCATCTTCAGATATTTGTCCCTGCAATATCACATCCATGTGCATACTTCCATAAAATCTGCCGAGTTAGGTCTCGGTCAGGTCCTTTTGGATATAGAGCTGCTGACATTTGTTACACAACTTTTCATTGTTCAATGATCATCTAGTTGTGTTTCCTATTTTTTCCAAATCTGTACCTGTCAGGCTCCCACTGTGGCGGCACATTAGGCTAATGATTGTCTTCTGGTTGGTGATACCTCATTATGGTGGTGCATTTTATGTCTATAACCACCTTATCCGTCTGTGCCTCTCCATGGACCTACAAATTGTTATCAACTGGTTCAACAAGCGGAAGAAATCCTCGTTTGACAGAGACAATTTTCTTACCGAGGTGGAGAGATATGTAAAGGAGAATGGACCTGAAGCTCTGGAAAATATTGTTGCTTCCACAGTAAGTAGGTCGAATTCTATGAAGAAAATATTTTGTTATATATGAATAAATTATTTCCTAGAATATGCACTTGTATAGATGCTTTGAACTGTGGAAAACCACATTCAGTTTTGGTTGTGAAGACCCTCTATGGAATATTTGTATAGATGCTTTGACTAATAATACGTTTTTGCTTCAGTCTGAGAAAACAAAGTCAAGTCGCGATGCGAAAGAGTTCAAAGCAGTTTCTCTGGAGAATAAAGAGGTACAGTATCCCTGATGCAACTCGTACAAAATTCATAAGACTTTTCTATACTCTCCAGTGGTTTGTTGTTGATGTCCTTTGTTAGATGACTTATGAGGACAGTGTATCGAATAATCACAAAGGGCAACAACCCCTGAATTCTGACTTTCTCCGATTAATTCTTCTGAATAATGTTTAATAAGAAATTCCATTTGATTTTGAATTATGCTTGATTTAAAGCGAAAATATTGTGAATTTAAGTTTGCAATAGCCTAATCTATTAATTTGATGACCTAATAATGCAGAAGACACCTTTTGAAGGTGCTTATGGACTTGAGCCTCAAAATGTTCTTGACTTAGTTCCACTTCCTGAAGAGATGAAAATGAGTGATGATGGAGAGGGTTTGGCGGACCAAGTGAAAAGAGTGCATGAAGAAGTGAGGGCAGTTATAAAGGATAGTAATGAGTCGTCTGCAGCCGCTGCCAATCAACACCGAAGAGTGAAGGATTTTGAAGAAGGTGACATGGTTTTGGTGCATTTGAAGAAGGAAAGATTTCCAAAAGGCACATACCATAAATTGAAGTCCAAGATGTTTGGGCCATATAAGGTGTTGAAGAAAATGAGCTCAATCGCTTACATGATAGAGCTGCCACCGGATCTCCAGATTAGCCCATATTTCAACGTGTCTGATTTGTATTTGTTTGAGGGATTTGATGAAGAAACAATTTCAAAGGAGGCACAAATCCAGCAACTTCCAAAGGCACAACCAGATATTGTTGAGGATGTGTTGGATGTCAAAGAGGTGACGTCAAGGAGGGGTAACCAGTATAGGCGGTTCTTAGTGAAATGGTTGGGTAAGAATGCTACTGAGAATACTTGGATTGCTGAATATGATTTAAAGAGGATTGTTCCAGAGAGATATGCTGAAGTTGTTAAAGCTTTCTCGCCAGAGTCGACTTCTTCCCAACCTGGTGGAGTTGATGCAGGAGCATCTGTTGGTTAGCCAAGTCATTTCAACACACGCAGAAAACCCACAACCACACAAGCTTTGGAAAATAAAAATGCCTAGTGAATTTTAAAGCAATCTCAGTCCACATGGCAGAGCTTGATGAGATATAAAATAGAGAAGATCCGAACAACATGACACCCATGGATATGAGAAAGTATTTTCTTTTATTTGGCCAAGCCTTCAAGGAAGAAGACTATGTCGTTTGTTGATGCAGAAACTAATTTTAATGATGTGGCGTTGTTAAAAGAAAAGTCAGACTATTGCTTATGCATAACTGAAAGTGATGCCCCAATTCCTCAATGTTAGAAGCTACCAAATATGCTGAAGCAAATGAATCCATCTTTGGAAGTTCACACATCTCGAAATCAACTACAGAGGATTTTCTTTTTTGTAATTAAGTAATGTCTTAACTTTTTTTTTAATTACTTTAGTTAGTAATTATGTTTTAATTATTATTTCTTTAGTGAATAATTAATATTTAAATATTTTACTAATTTCATAAATTACTTAATAACTAGTAATGAATTATTTTAAATTATTCTGTGGATTTTTTTTCTTAAACTTTCAAATATTTGAATATATTTAAAGAGTATAGCCGAGCGGCTACACTTTTAAAATATTCATATGTATTAGTGAAGAGAGCCCTGGGAAGAGATGAGTTCAACCTGGAGTGAAACCTAAGGAAGCAGCTCAGTCTAATTCTTTCAGGGCTTAGTCAAAGGGTATAGCCGCCCGGCTATACTTTCAAAATATTATACATTAAAAGAGTACAGCCGCTCGGCCATACGCCTAACTCCCGCCTAGCCGCCTAGGTGGCCGCCTAGCACCGCCTAGCGCCGCCTAGGCGGATTTTTCGAACACTCGACAATTTAACGTTACACATTGTCATAATCTAACAGAAATTAACATGCTTTCGACAGATATTCATCAATACAATGCTACTCAGTTGCAAAAATACCTTTTATCAAAATCCAAAAACCAAAAATATAAAAACACGATTCATAAAATAGCAAATTCGACAAACCCACTAAACAACAAGGATCATAAATACTAAACAGAAGAAGAAGAAACGCAGGGAAGTGCAGCTAGCTAACCTTTGAAGAAATTGGACTGTGCAGCGAACACAACAGGAACAGAGCGATACCTCTGCAAAAATAGCCTCTTATTAATTTGAAGAGCTGAGACCAAAGACTGCTTCTTCAACCTTAAAAATGAGAGCTGGAACCGCCATTTTAGCTTTCACCCAGTGAGTCTCTCACTTTCTCTCTCTCAGCCTCACAAGCAGCTATCGCTAACCTAGTTATGGCTGAATTTGTTATTGATTTGCAGAGCTTGGCCCCTTGTTTGTGCAGTTGGAGAGAGAGAGAGAGAGAGGAGTTTTAGGGCGAGGGGGGGATAGGAGGGATGGATTGTTGTGGCCTGTGGCCTTTTGGTTAGGAACGGGGCTGTCATGAAGGAGAAGGGGGAAGGGGAGCTTGTGGGATAATTAGGTTGAATTTTTTTTTTCTTTTGAATTATGTTAGTTTTAAAAAACGAAGGAGAAGTATAGCCGGGCGGCTATACTATTAAAATATTCGAATATATTGAATGAATAGAGCCGTTTGTCTCTAACTTTTTTCTTTTCTTTTTCTGGAACAGATAATTCCCAGGAAATTTTATTGATGAGAGGAATTTGATATGATCACAATTTACATGATGTGGTAGATAATTTCCATCGACAAACAAGCCCTTCTAGTAAGTAGGCCTAGCTAGCCAACGCGGGGAACCGCTGTGACGACGCCGGTTGCACCTTAACTCTTGGGTGATTATAGTTCCTTCGGGGATGAGGATTGCATGAACATCAGGCTTCTCTTGCTCTATCTTTGCCGCTGCAACTTCCCCGTCTTCTCCCACCAGCTCTGGCCAAAACAAAAACATTTAATTCATTTCTATAATTAATTATAATTATTATTATTGACTAATAATCTACCTAAATTTATTGTATTATTACCTGGACAATATGCAGATGCCATCCTTCTTTCTCCCTAACTCGCACTCTCATCAGTCTCAGTAGTTTCAGTCTGATACATAAATATGCAATATATATTTGCGATGGTATTTATTTTATAGAAATTGAAGGAGGTTTTCATTAGCAGACACGTCAAACGTGACTACATGTCACATGTCAATGCCTCTGCGAGCTCCATGTCCATTTGTCCTTCATACACACACATAGCATTAGACCGACCTCCTCACTATTTCATTAATTAATTATGTGTCTCTTTTTTTTAATTAATTGAACATAGTTGTTTAATTACCTTTTATATTAAAGGTATGGGAAAATTTTAGCAATCCCCTTTTGAATTATACCCCTTGCATCCGCAATGGTTGTTTTCAATATAATAGTTCAATAAATTGATCGTTTTTGGCATTTATTGAATTGAATTGTAATTTTACTTGTAATTTTACTTGTAATTGTACAATTTAATAGCTTCATATCAATAGTTATATTTACTTACATAATTTTTCATATACTCAAATAAAATAAAAGGGATAAATTTATTTTATGTTGTAAAATGAACGATATATGCAGGAATATTGAGCTGCACGTAAAGTAAATGAGACAGAATATTTAACAAGGTTCGGTCATACCTACGTCCTCGGAGAGCAGCAACAGTAACTTTTCCACTACGTAAAATAATAGGGCTACAACTTTAGTGTTTACAATATATGCCCGGGCTCTCTTTTTCATCTCCTCTCACTCTCCCTTTCTTTCTTCCTTCCTCTCTGCCCGGGCTCTTATTTTCTTCTTTGATGGTGATGGTGTGTTCTGCAAAGGCAGAATAATGCCTTATTTATAGGCTAAACAATTGATGCTCGTGAGTGTGCAGGTGATAAGCCTCCAAACAACTTTGCTTAATTTCTTCATGGGCCCATAATGGTGGGCTCCACCAATAATTTTACAACATAGTATTGAAATATTCTCAAAGAGATATTTAAAAGAGACCAATTTTGAATATATTTATAAAATTAAAAAATTAATTATTGTATTTTTTTTTCTATTGCATTGAATTGTCAAATAATCAATGCGAATATTCTTAACAACATAATGACAGAGATGCAATTACGAATGCTTTTATTCATTCTATTTTTGTGCTTTGTACTTTTAATTTGGTTTTGAACCGCTCTAATCTTTCAAAACATGTCAATATACTTGTTTAGTCAAATTTATTACATTTTCTGTTAGTTTTCGTCACATGATTTTATGGGCATAAATGTCAATTCACTCAACATGACTTCCAATCAAGAAATTAAATTTCGATATTATCGCCGATATTTCGGCGATAATATCGTTTTTTTTGGGTCCCGATATTTTCGCAACTGTTGAGGCCCAAAAAAGTCACGAGAAGCCCAAAGACATTTAAGGCCCGATATAACATATAATTTTGGTCATGCGTTAATCCAAGCTATATTTTGGGAATTAATTCATTAAATAAATAATAGTGTACATGTCATGCAAAGCCAATAATACATTTTTCATATGTCAATCACCTATCAAGCTTACATGAACCCAAGTCATGTGGTTACGGGGCTTGCATGAGGGATTGTGGTGTGGAAGGTTACGGAGGTCCACAAGGCCCACGGAAACTCTTGGATAATGGAGACTTTGAACTAACTACTTGGGAGCACCAAAGTCCAAGCCCATTACTTAGAGTTCACCAATGTGGGTAAGCAAATGAGATATTTTCCAAGCATTTCCTTTTATCCATAGGAAATAGTCATTTTCCAAATGCCTAGCTTTACCCGTTGGAAATAAGCCTTTTCCAGCACTCCCTATTACCCATTGGTAACAAGCCAATTCTGACACTTACCTTTACCCGTTGGAAATAGTCATTTTCCAATGTTTAGCATTACTCATTGGAAATAAAAATATCTCAATGCTCCCTTTTACCCATAGGAAATAAACTAGTTCCAACACTTCCTTTTACCTATTGGAAACCAAAGAGAGCCTTCCCCCTCTATAAATTGGGAGACATTTGCCCAGCCAAAACCAATCTCTCTTGGTTGTTGCAAGCTTCTCAACAACCATGAGAACTCATCTTCTTTTCTCTTTTTGGCTGCTGCAAGCATTCCAGCAGTCATCCCAGCCATTCCTCAACCATCACAACCAAGACTTTCCTTCCTCCTCATACCCTTCCAAGCTATAAATACCATAGCCTTCAAGCCTCAAGCTTTTCCTCCCATCCTCCTCTTGAAACTCTTAAATCCTCATAGGCATAGCCATAGCCATAGCCATAGCCACAAATAACAAATCATCAACACCCCAAACTCAAGCATATCCAACACCAAGCCAAGCACATGTATTCTCATTTGCTAAACTTGCGAATCTTTAGCTCCCACACTCCAAGCTCTCATGCCAAGCTAATATAATCTCAGATCTACATCAGCAAGTCATCTTCAACTTTTCGTCAAGCTGCCGGAAACGTCAACATCAAACACGCAGCCGCTGGAAGTAGAACAGAGTACTCCCTTGGGACATGCTTTTCCCTCGGGATGCTTTGGGCCTAGTCCTCGATGAGCCTTCCGACGGAAAAAGACCCCAACAGCAACTTTCCATTTATATTTCATCAATTTATCAAAAATATCCTTGATAATATTGCTGAAATATCGGGACCGATATTTTCGTTCAAATTCAATCTGAAATGGTCAATATATCGCAATATTATTGATAATATCGCGATATGAACTTTCAAAAATTAAAGAAAACTTACTTCACACATGCTGGGGTTCAAACCCCTTTCCCATTCGAAGATCTATAGCCACTCAACCACCACACTAGTCATCACTTTGTGATAATAAGCTATGGATGTATTTATAATACTTGCAAGCTGTTTCTCAAAATAGAAATTAACATAATTACTTATTGTTTTATTTTGTTGTTCATTTACTTAATTACTTAATATAATTTATTTCTTTTCTATTTAATCCATTTAATGTTATTGATTATTTTATTATTCATTATAAGTACTTACATTACTAAATTCCCCTTCAAATTGTTGCTTAATTACTTAAATCTCTATAATTATTTTCTTTATTTACTATTTAATTCTTCCTTGGATAAATTTATTTATGTTCTTAGTTAATTTTCAATCTTCACTATTATTTTTTAAGCATGGTAAAGTGCCTAATTTTCATGAAAAATCAAGTTGGTTTACATCTTTAATTATTTTTCAATTTTTGATAAATAATAAATATAAGAACGTGTACCATGTCCAATGAATAATGTGAAATAAGGTTACTCATGTATCTTACAATGCAATTTATAAAGTGTAAAATATTGTACTAAAAAATGATAAATAAATTACTAGGACAGTATTAATAATATGAAGGGACTTTAACTGAGATTTGAATCAGCCCAGCAATTCTAGGCTCTCAAAGTCTGCACCTCTCAACTATGAGAGAGAGAGAGAGAGAGAGAGAGAGAGAGAGAGAGAGAGAGAGAGAGAGAGAGAGAGAGAGAGAGAGAGAGAGAGAGAGAGAGAGAGAGAGAGAGAGAGAGAGAGAGAGAGAGAGAGAGAGAGAGAGAGAGAGAGAGAGAGAGAGAGAGAGAGAGAGAGAGAGAGAGAGAGAGAGAGAGAGAGAGAGAGAGAGAGAGAGAGAGAGAGAGAGAGAGAGAGAGAGAGAGAGAGAGAGAGAGAGAGAGAGAGAGAGAGAGAGAGAGAGAGAGAGAGAGAGAGAGAGAGAGAGAGAGAGAGAGAGAGAGAGAGAGAGAGAGAGAGAGAGAGAGAGAGAGAGAGAGAGAGAGAGAGAGAGAGAGAGAGAGAGAGAGAGAGAGAGAGAGAGAGAGAGAGAGAGAGAGAGAGAGAGAGAGAGAGAGAGAGAGAGAGAGAGAGAGAGAGAGAGAGAGAGAGAGAGAGAGAGAGAGAGAGAGAGAGAGAGAGAGAGAGAGAGAGAGAGAGAGAGAGAGAGAGAGAGAGAGAGAGAGAGAGAGAATGAGAGAGAGAGAGAGAGAGAGAGAGAGAGAGAGAGAGAGAGAGAGAAAGATATATATAAAGAGAGCGAGAGGGTAGCATTTGGGTTGAGTTGTGTGGCTAGGGTGCTGGGTTGTAGGGGGCGAGTTTGATGGGTGGGGTGTGATGAAATTGGTGGGGAGGGGATCGGGTAAAAGAGAGAAATAAAATAAAAATTGGAGTTTTTTATATTGTTAATTAATTAATTAATAATATGTTATTATTTACTTGATGGGTGGAAAGATAATTGGTATTTTAGGAATAATGGTGGGTGGAAAGATAAGATTGTATTTTTTTCAAATTTATAGGGTGGGTGGAAAAATAGGACATGGGGTGGAAATAGCAGCACTCTATTTAAGACCTTGCTTCCAATTGACTATTCGATTGGGGGTAAAGGTGAAAACGGACAAAATGTGAGTGAAAATGAGGTGTGAAAGGAATAATGAATCAAGTCAATTAGGATAATTTGAGTGGGTCAAATCATATATTAACGTGAATGAACAGAAATGCCCTTAATATAGTTAACAAAAAGGAAAACATTTATAATAAAATCGTTTGTACAAAGTACAAAGTACACAAACACTCAACTCGACAAATAATAATAAGGGTCATACTAAAATAAGCCCTTATAATTTAAAAACTCTAGATAATAACCCACCAATAATACAATGTTTAAGTAAAATCCAATTTTCTAGAGTTCATCACTTGAGTATTCATGAACTTTGGTAGAATTGTTTAGGGTGGATTCCGAAACCCTAGTGTTTGTTACTTGGTACTTTCACATTTTGATAATTCATCTCTGCCTTTCTCATTTAAATTCAAAGTCCATTTACTTTCATGCAATAGAAATAGGTCACTTGAAACAAATCAAAACCCCCCCCTCAATGTGTGTGTGAGTTGTGTGTTCGACACGTGGTGTGTCTTTGTTACTGAAATTTATTTGTTTCCGTAATTGTTTTGGACTTTTGGTCCGCGTTGTGTTCTTGCATTTTCTGTTCTGAATCCAACCGTATAAAGAACATAAATTTTGGACATACGGTTGGAAAGTTATAGGTCAAACACTGGACAGAGGTCGAAACTGGAAAAATAGAGAAACGAATCTGTCCAAATGGTGATAAAAGGGTGATAGAAAGTGCTGTTTGTGTTTTTCTCTAGTTTTCTTGTGTTGTTCCATTTCTTTTACACTTCTTTACTCATTTCTAGTTTCCCTATTTCATTTGTGCATTTGTGGTGTGTTAAATAAGTGTTCTTTATGTACTCAAATTAGAACTTATAGGAAGCCGACAAGTTCTTCGTGGGATCGACCCCGTACTTACATAATCTATACTTCGATAGATTCGTGCACTTGCGGGTATTTTTAATTGGTTGTTTGCACATTAATTTGTGTCCTCTTAGGAATGCAACAGGCCCACTTACTAAGAACCGAGACTTTCTACCAAAATTTTGGCAGAGTCTCCCCTGTAAATAGAACATATCAAAAAAAAAATCAACCGGTCAAAAACACAGTTATTTACAACCCAACAACCAGCATGCATTACCCAACACACAGTGGCCTCCGGCCTCACAAAACAAACCCTAACAGGACGATAACAGAGCATGTCTAACAGAATTCAACAACCCAACAAATATGGAGTTTTACGAATTTACAAGGTACAGAGGCTCTACGAAAGCTCGGAGCACTGCAGTTCACGGTTCAGGGCAAACGACACAGCTCTGCTGCTCGTTCCAGTCAACTACTGGCTGTGGGGCGCAAAACAGAAAATTGTGAGTGGACAAAACAAAGTTTAGTTTCAATTAAACCAAAGTAATATAACCCCCACCGTTAGAAAACCAAGCATGAA